TGGGGTGTTGAGGTGTTTGGGGTGTTTAAGGTGTTGGGGTGTTTGGGGTGTTGGGGTGTGATGGTGTTGGGGTGTGATGGTGTTGGGGTGTTTGAGGTGTTGGGGTGTGATGGTGTTGGGGTGTTTGAGGTGTTGGGGTGTGATGGTGTTGGGGTGTTTGAGGTGTTGGGGTGTTTGGGGTGTGACGGTGCCAAGATCACACCCTAAAGACATAGCTTCTCCCAATACAAGGTTTAAGTGAACTTACTAAACGTTTCATGAAGAAATATAAGACTTAGAAAGTACGTATTTTGAACCCGTTCTAGATTGAATGGCACTATACAAACGCTAAGGAACTGCTAAATAAGCAGAAATTCGAAACTGTGAATAATGTAAGAAACACCAGACACAGAGACAAAATGCCCCCATATTTTTTTTTAGCTCAGTCAAATCTCTTCATGAGGCAAATTTGATCTATGGGCAGCAAAAGACGCCTGAAATAATATGTGAATAATAATATGTATAATGAGTATGATATTATTATATTTAAGAGTAGACCTGTATTTATTTTTTTCAGTTGTGTTGGAGATCTGTTTCAGATGTGCCACGTTATCAATGTGATATTTAATGAACTGTCGTTGAAAAAGAAAAGGCCGCGTCTTCTAGACAAAGACCACTTATCATCTAGTAATTGTATATCTTATAGGAACGAGCTTGGAAGGATGGTCCAGGACAGAGATAAATGGAAGGAGCGTGTATGTGGCTTATACTTTGCCAGGGGTGGAAGGCCTTGATGATGATATTATCTTGTAGGAGCATCTCATTTAGCAAAAATATTTTACCAGGTTTTCTAGATTAAAAAAAACCACCATAATATCATTCATCGCTATAAACTCCTCAAGTTTATTCAGCTATCCCTCGGGCTACCACTAGGAGTTATTGGTCAGTTAATTGTTGTTCATTTCATAAAGTAATAATAAAGCTTTTGATACATATTGGACTTCAGGAAGCCGTCACCAATACATGTATAACACAACGGTACAGAAATACGAAATCAGAAGAACTAAAATGAAGGATTAATGGCACATAATATTATGCATTAAAATATGCAAACGGCAGCAATTAAAATGTATAAGCTCATGTCCAAATTATAATTATCAATATGCCACTATACTTTCACATAAAAATAAAATTCAACGGTTCTGAATCTACATAAACATAATTATGACAGTGATTTGGATTTGTTTGTTGTACTTAATGATCTGTTGACAAACTGTGATGAGAACTAAAGTGGATTTTAAAAAATACTGTTTAATTGTCTCTTCGTTGTCGACATAGATAGATCTGTTATGACTACATGGGAACGGTATAGAGGGTGCCCATGTCTCTCGTGACTCATTGGAGCAGAGGAAGATAGGACTAACGCTAACATTACTTAAACACAATTCCACATCATCACTCATCCCCACCATTATTTGAAAAATCATCATTGCTCTCAGATCAATGACTTGTGTCTATAATCCTGGAATCTCTATCTGTAACAGTTACTTGTCATACTAAGTATGCACGTAATATACTATTGGACACTATCATACGCACTTTTTTCTACTAATCAGATGGCGTCAATCTCATATACATGGGCAAGGGATATTTTTAAAAAAGAAAGAAATTATGCCTATGTGCGTTCAGAACAGTTTTACAGTATGAGGTTTTTACCAGTACGAGCAAAGATTCCCAGTTTACGAACATGTATGACCCAAGCGAGTGGATACTGCTTCACCCCCTAAGGGCCACACCTTTACTTTCATACCCACTTTTAGCCCACACCGTTTTTTAAAATCCTAATCTGTTTTTACCCAAATTTTTGGCCCAAATATGTTTTAAATCCCCTTCCGGCCCAAACCTTCGTTGGCTAACCCACTTTTGACCAAAATCTTCGTGTTTATACCGACTATGGCCTATAATTTCGTTTTTATTTTTTGTTTTTGTTTTTTTTGGGGGGGAGCTTTGTTTACCCGTTTTTGGCCCACATCTACATTTTCTTTTACCCGATCTATTTGTACATTTTTATTTCCTCCTTGATCTACCCTTCATGAATAAAATGACCTAGGATTGTGGTTATTATCGTAATTATCAAAATATACGGCGAGACCCTAAAATACTGTGCAGGTAGTTTGTGGGTGCCACTGGGTTCTTCTTCTTTTGCTTCCCTTTGTCGTTTCTGTCTTCTCGTGTTTTTGTTTTTCTTTTCTAAATACTACATAGTCATTATCATAGTTATATTATTATTATTATTATGCTTCTCTTTACTCCAAAACAAACCAAAAACAAAAGATTGCTCCAGCACCAGTTAATCTGCGTAAGAAAGGAGGCGAGAACAGAATAGATGGAGTACACTCAGCTCTAACACAAATGGCAATGTGGGAAGATCAACTCTCAGACGGTATATTGTTATATAAGTGAGTAGAAAGGG